ATGCTTATTATTGATATATATGTATCAAATTATAATGATACATATTTTGGAGGATGGATGTTGATTATATAGTGTGGTTCAATTAACTACGCAGTTTGGAGGAGTTAAATGCTCAGTAAATTTTTATCAGCTTAAAGGAATTGGTTTAGGATTTCTAAGCTTTATATTGTGTGCATAATTTGATCCTAAACTTGATAGGTTATATTAAATGCTTATTCTGGAGTATAGTTGGTTTGCATCTATTACTGTTTTATCGACTATGTTAATTGGAGGATTGTATGTACCGGTATGGGACGGTGACATACTAGGTATGGATTAGTTCAAGCACTAAATCCTACCTAATTTGGAATGAGTTGGATTAACCATAAAGAGGTTAAGTCCTACTTATATGGATGTATATGGACCGGTATGGGACGGTGTCATACTAGGGATGGTTTAGCTCAAAATGCATAAACCTAACTTATTGGATTTAAGGGAAGGATTGTAAAATATTGAATCCTAAACCTTGTTTAGTCAGATCGACTGATTAAGTTGAAAGACTATCTGGATTAATTGTGTTTGTGTGTAGTTGGATCGACTGATTAAGTTGAATGACTACCTGGATTAAATGTTGGTTGTGTTTAAGTCAGATCGACTGATTAAGTTGAATGACTAAACTGGATTAAAATTCTTATGTCAATTCAATAAACAATAAAATAGCATACCTTGGGTTAGACGGACTTTATATATATGATATGGCACCACGATATGGGCATGAGTCTCAGAGTCGTTGGTTAGGGAGCGTATATCGCTTGGGATGGATAACTGGACATAGGTATTGTTCCCTGGTAGGTCTAGGTACTCATGCCCACCTTAGGGTGCGTATTTGCATGTTGCCTTTTATTCAGGCTGAGACAAACCTATTGGACTAGCGAGCGTCCTATTAGTGTGCACTATATACATATATGGACTACTCTAGATATGGTTGAGTCTTACTAAGATGTATCTGCGTATTGGATTACTGTTTGGATTGTAGTAGATCAGGACTTACATGTGGGCCTGACCCACTCCTTTATTTTTCAGGTATTCGTCAGTTCCAGGGTTAGAGCTTGGACGTGCAGAGCAGATACAGATATTCATTCCTCTGACTTTGTAGGAATCTTCTCTATGTTAGCTGTAGAATTTATTTCTATGATTTAAACTCCTATTTGAGAATTTTATAAGGGGTCCAATAGATGGATTCCCGAGTTGTAAACTTACAGAGGTTTTGAAGCTTGGATTTTTATAATTATATTTGGAAGATATTTATTTCTAGTTCCTTTCAGCTTTTAAATTTTTATTTCTTAAACAATTTTGTATTCCGTGTTCGATTTAAAATACTTTAATGGTTTGATATCCCTCGGACTCGAGTCGGACTTGATCAACCCGTGTCTCGGATCCGAGGGGTATCACAGGTAGTGGCTGTAGAGCTTCTGGTGGCCGCTGATGATCAATCTTGACCATCTAACAAGTACTACATCGTGAGACAAAAATAGCAATGTCCTTTTTCATACCTGTCCATCAAAACTGCCACTTCATATCCTGATACATCTCGTCTCCTCCTAGATGAATAGAAAACTCAGAATAATGAGTCTCCGTCATCACATCCTTCCTCAAATCATCAGCAGAAGGTACCACTAAACGTTCCTTATACCTTAAACCTCCATCCGTCCCACCATAGTAATATGGGACCTCACCAGAAGTTATCTCTGCAATTTTGTCAATGCACTGCTGATCCGTGAGTTACGCCTTCAATACTTTGTGAATGATAGAAGGTGTAACTACCATGCAAGCTAAACTTAACATTTCAACCAGGGGGTCCGAATCGTTAGCTGGGTCCTTACTCGAACCCGAGGTCATCTACATCAAACTTAACATTTCAAGTGTCACAACATCACCTTTAGGAGCATCCCTAGGTCGTCACTAGGCTTTCACGAAGTTCAAAACAAATTCCTAAGGTTCGAGAGATGGATACATTGATGAGAAGAGTAACTTGGACCAAACAAACTCACTTCGATCGACCGAAGTGGAGCTTCGGTCGGCCGAAGCAAGCCCTTCCAAAACGATCGACCGAAACCCCCCTTTGGTAGACCGAAGCAGAGATCCTGAGAGCATGCGAATGGTTCAGTCGACCGAACCCTATTTCGGTCGGCCGAAACAGGAGATCCCGAGAGTCAACAAAGGGGTTTAGTCGACCGGGGCACCATTTCGGTCGACCGAAATGGCTTCTTCGAGCCTTATATCCTAAAACTGACCTGCTATGCTTAGAAATGAACTGATATGATTGTGATAAACTTTAGAATGATTCAAACGTGAGCTAAACCATCAAAATGAAACATTCTAAGGTTATGAACATGAGTACCACCACACAATCATCTTACAAGAACATTTATTACAATTACATGATAATCAACATAATGTTCACATTAGTTCCATTTACATCAAATAAAAGTTAAGTCTCATACTTGAGTTACAAGGCTATGAATAATAACATTTGTTACATTTCCAAAACAATATACATACAAAAAAATTGGCCTAAGTACAAAATAGCAAAATGGTCTTCTAACAACTTTCAAGCTTGCGGTGGATTATCATCCGCCATTTCCTTTCCATGACCTGAAAAATGATAAATATAGTGTGGTGAGTAAAAGCTCAGCAGGTGGCACTTAAGACACGCTTCTTGTGTCCCCGTGAATCCATACAAAGAATAGACCAATAGGAAATAGGGGTAATACAATGTCGGGATAATATCACATAACAATTAATCTCAAGTATACACCATATGATACAATAGAATGAAATGCGTGCCAATGTCACTCCCCATTTTCATCATTCAAAACCATCACTTTCAAACGGTTAATATAACCCGCCCTTTGGTGACCCCGTAGTGACACGAGAGAAGGATTAGTTAGTGTCCCTGACCCTTGGTACCCCCGTGGTGTCATTTTAGGCCCAGCTAGCTCAACCATGCTAGGGCAATCTCCCTAGTTCCCTCTAGGCTATATTAACCTTCCGGCCCTTTGGTACCCCCGCGGCGACCGGGTTTTTATAAAACTATTTCATCAAAACACTTTCCCAAAATTCCCCATTTTTATTTCAAAACGCTGTTTCCCTTTTTCATACCCAATGTTGATGCATGAATGCATCAATGCCATGTCTATGCCCATCATTCTACAACCAACTCAAATTTAATTAACAAGGCATGGTTCATAAGGATTTCTAAAGAATTTACAACATTTGATCATACAATAAAAATCTAGCATGATAGACATATGAAAATCAACATTTAAGCATGCTCTTCACATAGATCATTCAACACACATAACCACACAATTGACCAATATACGCAACAACTAAGTAATTGACTAGATACTATATAAATTGAGCATGCTAAACAACCATTTAGGAGAAAATAACTCACAAAAGCACAAGATTTCATAGATTAAGAACCCCCTATCTCTAAATTGAGCAAAACCCTTGAAATGGGTCAACAAATTCGAAATCCCTAGTGAGGCTTAAAGCTGAAATTGATGGTACTCACGCGTAGAGCTCATCTTGCTCGCCGTTTTGCCCCAAACAGTACACCAAAATTCAAAGTATTGAAGATGGACTCAAAGCTTGAAGTTTGATTCCAAAAAGAAAAGACAAACAAGTGAAGAAGGAGAGAGGAAGAGAAAGTTACGGGGAGAGAGAAAAAAAATAGGTGATCAAAAATGGTCTCTAGACCATTAAATGTTTGAGTGGTGGTTACCACCACCAACCTTTTTTTTTTTTTACTCCAATTTCTACATCACACACACACAAAAATGCACCACATACAAATACTACTTAATCCACATAAATTAAATTGCACAAATTGCAATTGGACCCAACCACATAATGTGAAAAGACAGAAATACCCTTGCACCAACTAATTACCAGAAAAATGAAAAATGCTGAAAATTAGAAACGTCACAATCTCCCCAACTTAAAAAGGAATTCGTCCCCGAAATCAAGCCATACCTGGGAAAGAAAACAACTCCGGATACCTGGAGCGAACCTGCTGTTCGAGCTCCCAAGTAGCCTCCTCGACTCCGTGGTGCCTCTAAAGGACTTTCACTAACTGCACTGTTTTACCCCCTAACACCTTCTGCCGTGTGTCAAGGATTTGCACTGGTCCCTCTTCATAGGAGACATCCTCATCAACGTCCACATCAACCCAATTCAAAACATGGGATGGATCTAGTTTATACTTCCGTAACATCGATACATGAAAAACATTGTGAACCTTGTCCATCTGTAGTGGCAAAGCAAGTCTGTAGGCAACTTCTCTTACACGGTCCAAAATCTCAAACGGTCTAATGAATCATGGCGACAACTTGCCACTCTTCCCGAACCTTATCAAACCCTTCCGTGGAGAAACCCGCAGAAAAACATGGTCTTCCACCTAAAACGATAGCGGTCGTCTCCGCCTATCTGTATAGTTCTTTTTTCGGCTCTGAGCTGTGAGTAATCTCTTTCTGATCAAATTAATCTTCTCAGTAGTCTCGAGTACAATGTCGGGTCCTAAGGTGGCTGTCTCGCCCACCTCAGTCCAACAAACTGGAGACCTACAAAGTTTACTGTACAATGCCTCAAATGGAGCCATCTCGATGCTCGCCTGATAACTGTTATCGTAGGCAAACTCAATAAGCCGTAGATGATCTTCCCAACTACCACCCAAGTCAAGCACACATGCCCAAAGCATATCCTCCAAGATCTGGATAGTACGGTCCGATTGACCGTCTGTCTGTGGATGAAATGTTGTACTAAGATGTAACGTTGAACCGAATGCTGCTTGAAGTCCTTTCCAGAACTTCGAAGTGAACTTGGCATCCCTATCTGAGATAATGGTTACTGGAAGTCCATGCAACCTTACAATCTCCTTCACGTAAAGAACACCAAGTGCCTCTGCATCATCTGTTGCCTTAATAAGCAAAAAGTGAGCCATCATGATCAGTCTATCAATAATGACCCATACGGCCTCGCTGCCTCTCCGTGACCTTGGAAGACCTGTCACAAAATCCATAACAATGTGCTCCCATTTCCATTGCGCTACAGGCAATGGTTGCAACAAACCTGCCGATCTCTGATGCTCGACCTTCACCTGTTGACAGGTAAGGCATCTAGCCAGAAACTGTTCAACATCTTTCTTCATCCCATTCCACCAATACTGACGCCTCAAGTTATGATACATCTTAGTACCACCTGGATGAACTGCAAAGCGGAAGTGTGAAACTCCCGAAGAACGTCCTCCAATAAACTGTGGGGACCACCAACAAATCCCTGAACCGTAGACCCCCATCTATATGCAAGGTCCAATCCTTCATTGTCTCACCACTGGAGATCAAAGCGTGAATGGCATCTAAATCCGAGTCCTGTCTCTATGACTCAATCACTCTTACAACAAGAATAGGCTGAGCCACAAGACTAAACAAGAATGCCAATTCACTACAACCATCATCGTTAACACAATACAATCCCATCTCTGCTAGATCATTAAGCATCTTCCATTTCCGAATAGCTAATCCTGCCAAAGTTCCACTAAATTTCCGGCTTAAGGCATCTGCTACCATATTTGCCTTGCCCGGATAATACTACAAATCAAAATTGTAATCTTCTAAAATTCAACCCATCGTCTCTGTCTATTATTCAGGTCCTTTTAGGAGAAAAGGTACTTGAGACTCTTATGATCCGAGAATACCTCGAATCTCTCACCATACAAATAGTGTCTCCAACACTTCAGTGTAAACACGACTGCCGCTAACTCTAGATCATGAGTAGGGTAGTTATACTAATGAGTCTTTAACTGTCAAGACCCATAAGCCACTACTCTACCATCCTGCATCAACACACATCCCAACCCATCACGTGAAACATCATAATAGATCACGTAACCCAAGCCACACTCAGGTATCACCAACACTGGAGCTATAGTCAATCTTGTCTTTAACTCTTGAAAAGAAGACTCGCAGGCTTCATTTCACACAAACTTTATTCCTTTTCGGGTCAATTGGGTCATAGACGCTGCCAAACGGGAGAAATCTTTCACAAATCTCCGATAGTAACCCGCTAGACTAAGGAAACTCCGGATTTCAAACACATTCTTAGGTTGCTCCCAATTCAAAACAGCTTCAATCTTCGATGGATCAACTGACACTCCATCTTCTGAAACAACGTGTCCCAAAAACTTCACCTCTTGTAGCCAAAACTCGCATTTCTCATATTTGGCATACAATCGGTGCTCTCATAAAATCTGCAGAACAGTACTCAATGGACCTCGTGCTCCTCTCGAGTCCGTGAGTACACAAGAATGTCATCCACGAAAACTACCACAATCTGGTCCAAGTAATCATGAAAGACACGGTTCATCAAGTCTATGAATGCCGCTGGCATATTTGTCAAGCCAAAAGGCATAATAAGGAACTCATAGTGTCCATACCATGTACGGAACACTGTCTTTGGGATATCCTCATCCCTAACCCGCAACTGATAATAGCCAGACCTCAAATCAATCTTTGAGAAAAACTGGCTCATCTCAACTGATCAAACAAATCGTCTATCCTTGGCAAAGGATACTTGTTCTTGATGGTGACGTGGTTCAACTTCCGGTAATCAATGCACAACCTCAAAGAACCATCTTTCTTCTTAGCGAATAAGACCGGTGCATCCCACGGTGACACACTCGGTCGGATGAAACCTTTCATCCTCAGATCATCAAGCTGTTTCTTCAACTCTTCCAACTCAATTGGTGCCATACGATACGGTGCCATAGAAATCGGCGCAGTACCGGGCATCAAGTCAATAGTGAACTCCACTTCTCGGTGTGGAGGCAACTCTATCAAATCCTCTGGGAACATATCAAGAAAATCATGAACTACCTCCGGATAGCCTTCTCCCACAACATTATCTTCTTCGGCTAGAAGACTAGCCAAGAAATAATCTCCACGACTTCGTTCACGAATTCTATACACTGATGAAGGCTGGGAATCACTCCGATCTCCCATGAAAAAGAAACAATCTCCCTCAGGAGTGCAAACTGTAACTCTTCCTCTATAACAGTCGATCGTAGCATAAAATGAAGCTAACCAATCCATCCTGAGAATGACATCTAAACTAGTCATCTCCAGGAGGATAAGGTCAAACACAAAAGTCCGTCCGACTATCACAATAGAACAATCCCGTACAACTCGGCTCAAAAATGCTGAAACCCCAACTGGCATATCAACACACAACGCCTGATCCATGAAACTGACCTCTAACCTCGATGCAAGTGCAAATGATGATGAAATGAAGGAATGAGATGAACCAGAGTCAAAAAGAATACGAGCCCAAGAACCAAACACTAGAAAGATACCTCAGAGAACTAACGGTCCAGAAGATGCATCAGCCGGTGCAAGTGCAAAGACACGTCTCTGCGGTGCCTGTGCTTGAGAACAGCTACCCGGAATACCAGACTGCTATGCTGGCACAGTAGGAGCATCCCTCCTAACTGGTCGTGAACCCTGAGAAGATATAGCAGGTTATGGTGGTGGCGGCGGTCTGAAACCGAACTGAACAGTAGCCGACTGTGATTGCCTCTGTCGTGACCCTCTGCCACTACTAGTAGTTGCTCCCTAACTCGAACAGTCTCAAATCAAGTGACCTTGTTGGCCACACCCATAATAAGCCTTTGAAGCTGAAGAAACCGAAGACGATCTCATGGGACAACTGGACTTATAATGCCCAGGCTGCTGACACTGAAAACATATGACTCCACTCTTATTAGATCCAGCTAGCATAGGAGTGGTAGGAGCGGATCGTACAGATTGTTGCCCCTGAAACTGAAAAGAACTACCCTTGTTCTTCTTCCAAGAAGATCCTTCTAAAGATAGCCTTGCCCCTTTCTTTTGCTTCCACTGTTTTCTTCTTGCATCTTTATCTTTGATATCAGCCTCAAGCATCAAAGCCCTCTCTACTGTTTCAGAATAAACCTTGATAAACTGTGCCGTTATCAATGGCCTCATTCTATCATGAAGACCGGAAATAAACTTCCGAGTCTTGTCAATTTCATCCCTTACCATTTCCGAAGCAAAGCGAGAAAGTGAAGTGAATTTGTTCTCATATTCCGCCACTGAAATATTACCTTGGATAAGGCCAAGAAACTGGTCTTTTAGCTCCCATCTTTTAGAAATCGAAAAATACTTCTCGTAAAACAATTCCTTAAACTTTTTCCAACTCATTTCTTCCACCTTATGCTGGCTCGTGATCGATTTCCACCAAAGCTTAGCATCCTTAGCAAACTTATAAGTTACTAGAATGATCTTCAAGTGATCCTCTGTCACATCCATTGAGGTCAACTGAGTCTTAACTTGATCAATGTAGTTGTTTACTATCATTGGATCTGCACCGTCTTCAAACATAACCGGCTTTAACTGAGAAAACCCCATAATAATCTTAAGACGCTTCTGAGCTGGCGTCTCCTCAACTTGAACTGTAGGTTGTGGTGCCGACTACGACTGAGCAGCAATGGTTGCCCTTAAGGCACTTTGTAACAAACGATTCAACTCCAGTGCTGCAGAACCTTCACCCGCTTCTACGGGTGATTCAATATTATCTCTCCTTGTGGGGACACCTCTCGGGGGAATCAAGTCCCTAAGAAGTGTGTCCTCATTATTTAACTCCTCAAGATTGGAGCTAGAGCTCTCGCCAACATCACCCCTAGTAGGCCTAGGGCCAACTTCCCTAGTTTCCTCACGTCATGACATCGTGCTATAAAATGAGAAAACAGTTCAGAAACATGACATTAAGGCCCACTGTGGACAACTCAACATGAAATGATGTCGTAACGACACTTAGCATGCAAAACTATACAAGAAACATTTTAACATGAATAATTAAGCACATATGCACATAGGCAGTTAAGCATACTTGTTCAAGTAATACAACACGTAGCAAGTAGTCAAAGAAACAATACAATTAACATCCTATGTAATCCCATGTAGGCCTCTACCCGTCGTCCTATAGGTTTTCAAACCATGTCTCTGATACCATTCCTGTAACGACCCGAACCCGTGGGTCCGAATCGTGAGCCGGGTCCTTACTCAAACCCAAGGTCATCTACGTCAAACCTAACATTTCAAGTGTCACAACATCACCCTTAGGATCATCCCTAGGTCATCACTAGGCTTTCACGAAGTTCAAAACAAATTCCTAAGGCTCGAGAGATGGATACATTAACGAGAAGAGCAACTTGGACCAAACAAACTCATTTCGGTCGGTCGAAGCAAGCCCTTCCAAATCGGTCGATCGAAACCCCCCTTCGGTCGACCGAAGCAGAGATCCTGAGAGTATGCGAATGGTTCAGTCGACCGAACCCTATTTCGATCGACTGAAACAGGAGATCTCGAGAGTCAACAAAGGGGTTCGGTCGACCGATGCACCATTTCGGTCGACCGAAGTGGCTTCTTTGAGCCCTGTATCCTAAAACTGACCTGCTATGCTTAGAAATGAATTGAGATGATTGTGAACAGCTTTAGAATGATTCAAACGTGAGCTAAACCATCAAAATGAAACATTCCAAGGTTATGAACAATCATCTTACAAGAACATTTATTATAATTACATGAGGAATCAACATAATGTTCACATTAGTTCCATTTACATCAAATAAAAGTTAAGTCTCATACTTGAGTTACAAGGTCATGAATAATAACATTTGTTACATTTCCAAAACAATAGAAATACAAAAAAATTGGCCTAAGTACAAAATAGCAAAATGGTCTTCTAACAACTTTCAAGCTTGCGGTGGATTATCATCCGCCAATTCCTTTCCATGACCTGAAAAATGATAAATATAGTGGGGTGAGCAAAAGCTCAATAGGTGGCACTTAAGACATGCTTTTTGTGTCCCCGTGAATCCATACAAAGAATAGAGCAATAGGAAATGGGGGTAATACAATGTCGGGATAATATCACATAACAATCAATCTCAAGTATACACCATATGATGTAATGGAATGAAATGCGTGCCAATGTCACTCCCCATTTTCATCATTTAAAACCAACACTTTCAAATGGTTAATATAACCCTCCCTTTGGTGACCCCGCAGCGACACGAGAGAAGGATTGGCTAGTATCCCTGACCTTTGGTACCCCTGAGACGTCATTTTGGGCCCAGCTAGCTCAACCACGCTAGGGCAATCTCCCTAGTTCCCTTTAGGCTATATTAACCCTCCTGCCCTTTGGTACCCCTGTGGCGACCGGGTTTTCATAAAACTATTTCATCAAAACACTTTCCCAAAATTCCCCATTTTGATTTCAAAGCACTGTTTCCCTTTTTCGTGCCCAATATTGATGCATGAATGCATCAATGCCATGTCTATGCCCATCATTCTACAACCAACTCAAATTTAATTAACAAGGTATGGTTCATAAGGATTTTCAAAGAATTTACAACATGTGATCATACAATAAAAATCTAGCATGATAGGCATATGAAAATCAACACTTAAACATGCTCTTTACATAGATCATTCAACACAAATAACCACAGAATTGACCAATATACGCAACAACTAAGCAATTGACTAGATACTATACAATTGAGCATGCTAAACTACCATTTATAAGAAGATAACTCACAGAAGCACAAGATTTCATGGATTAAGAACCCCCTACCTCTAGATTGAGCAAAACCCTTGAAATGGGTCACCAAATTCAAAATCCCCAGGGAGGTTCAAAGCTGAAATTGATGGTACTCACGCATAGAGCTCATCTTGCTCTCCGTTTTGCCCCAAACGGCACACCAAAATTCAAAGTATTGAGGATGGAATCAAAGCTTGAAGTTTGATTCCAAAAAGAAAAGAAAAACAAGTGAAGAAGGAGAGAGGAAGAGAAAGTTACGGGGAGAGAGAAAAAAAATGGGTGATCAAAAATGGTTTCTAGACCATTAAATGTGTGAGTGGTGGGTCCCACCACTAACCTTTTCTTTTCTTTTTTTTCTTTTACTCCAATTTCTACATCACACACACACAAAAATGCACCACATACAAATACCACTTAATCCACATAAATTAAATTGCACAAATTGCAATTGGACCCAACCACAAAACGTGAAAAGACAGAATACCCTTGCACCAACGAATTACCAGAAAAATGAAAAATGCTGAAAATTGGAAACGTCACAAATACCATGTAAAAGAAACTAAAAATTGAGGAATTTTCTATATATTGAATTGAATTCATTACAAAAAAGGAAGTGTAATATTTCTGAATTTTGATATTTTCTATTTTTCTTGAATTTTTTGTTTACGTAAGGGCATTTTCGTCTTTTCTTGTTTTGCGTACCGGACACTATGGAGTGTGCCGGTTAAGTCTCAGAGTTGATTGGGGCATTTCATTGAGTTCAGGACTCTTTGAAATGCAAGGTTCGTCATTTTTGTATTTTTTCATTTTTCGAGTCGGACGGTCCCGTGTGGGACCCGCTACTGGAATTGTCGCGCACGGGGATTTCAGTTGGGTTCATTTGCATCCCATGCATTTTATTTAATATGTTATATGTGGTGGTGATTTAGTATGGTTGATATATATATAGAAAAGAAAAAAAATAAATTTTTACTGTTGTGGGGCCCACATCTTTTCCCTTCTAATTGGCCAAGAGGCCATTTTTGGGCCTCAAAATTCTCTCTCTATCTCATGCCCTCTCTCTTTCTCTTCTCCCATTTTCTTTTATCTTTTTATGCAATTTCAAACCTTGATTTCTCACAAACCGTTGGGAGATTTTTGATGCTGTTTGCGACAAATTAAAGAGCTCGAAGAGATCTACGATTTAATCGGAGCCAATCCCTTTTTGGCCACCATTTTGAGATTTTGAAATTCTAGGGTTTGAGGTGAATTTGGGGCTTTTCATTAAATTGAGGTAGGGGATTCCTAATCCATAACTTCTTAGACTTTTTGTGAGTCAATTCTTTATGAATTGTTGATTAGCAAGTTCAATTTGTGTTAATTTCTCTAAGATGGCTTATTTGATGTCTATGAACCATATGTCTATGTATATTAGTTGATTTTGTGTGAGAGAGCATGCTTATGTGATTAATTTTATGCCTATTATGTATAAATTGTTGAAAGTTTGAAATATGGAAGCTTGTTAATTTGCGAGTTATGAAATTCTTTATTGACATATCATTGGAAAGCATGAGACATCCATGCATATCATGGGGCATGAAATGGGGAAAATTTTGATTTTAATGAAAAGTAAATGGTTTTGAGAAAAAGTTTGATGAAAGGTTTGCAAAAACTCGGTCGCCTAGGAGGCGCCTAGAAGTCCGTGGTATTAATGTAATCTAGAGGGAACTAGGGTGAGACTCTAGTATGGTTGAGCTACCTAGGCCTAGATGGCGCTATGGGTTAGAGATAGTTAGCTAACCCATCCCTTGTGACGCCATAGAGGTGCTATGGGTCAGATTGCATTGACGGTTTGGAATGATGAAACGAAAATGTTTTGGAAACGGGGAGTGACGCTGCATGGCATTACATTTCATAGCATGGTATCGATTCTTCATGAAGTGGATAATTGATATTGACATTGTTGTTGTATATCTCCCGATATAATATGACCCCATTTTCCTTACTCATATTCATTGTTAGATTCACAGGTTTCAGGAGGTGTGTCTTAGGCACCTCCTACAGAGCCATCGTGCTGATCCCTTTATTATTAACATTTTTCAGGGCTCGGGAAAGAAGTGGCGGAAGAGCCACAACCACAGACTTAGCTTGGATTAGAGAACTGACCCTTTTTGCCATCTTTCGTAACCAAACCCCATCATGTAAAGCACTAGCTGTAAATGTATCATTTTTGTGTCTCGTGATGTAACTATATTCTTTATTTTGTATGCGATCATCGGGGGATGTACAATGTCAGTATTATGTTAATCTTGTGAATGTAACATATTTGAAATTCCTTACCTAAAATTATGATGATAATTATGACGGGAGGATTGTATAGGTTGTCGTTGTGAATACGGAATTGCATAACTTATAAGGTTGGCTTATAACTAGTCTAATCAGTTTTGATGTTTTAGCTGTGGGTAGCGGCTACCCAAGGCCTGTCGGCAGGCTGACAACGACTATTAATCGGCTGACAATGCCCATTTTGGCATTCCGGTGAGCTGAAACGTGGAAAAACTTGTTTCGGCCGATTGAACCTCTTCATCAGCAGACCGACCCTCCTTCACCAGTCGGTTGAACCTCAATTTCAGTCGGTCGATGAGCCACTGTAGTAAAGTCCCGAGAGTTTGCAACTTTGAGAATCGTTTAGGCCGACTGACCATCTCAGTCAGCCGGCCGATCATGCAGTTTCAGCTGGCCGACCAAGGGCCATCAGTCGGCTGACCCTCCCTCTTTGACCAGTGTTTTGACCCTCTCTTCTTAGGCTATGATTTTGAAGTGT